AGTCAGAAATACTAAATAGAATTTCTTTTTTAAACCCAGTCATCATTTTTAATTACATAAGGAAAGCCTACGTGATAGTGATTTTGCCGAAATGCTTCTAGTACGTGACCTTGATATTGTTCAAAGCTAATATTTTTAGCGGCTCGGTCTTGATCTCGCGCAAGGTAAAGAGAATTAATATTAAACAGATGTGCGCTACGATTATGTCATTTTACTACAAAGTGAACGTAAACAAGATTTTACTGAATTACTTTGTCAATGACCTTTCTTTTAAATTGATTGATGGAAAATCTATACAAAATTTAGGTGCACTCCGCAAGCCCTAAGGCAGGTATGGGCAACCTTGGACTTGTTGTGGGCCAAACTTTAGTGTGCAAATAAGTTCGCGGTCTAGTTTAAAAGTAGTACATTTTGAAGTACTTATATTTTTTTGCGATAGATATCATATATGAAATGATACGACAATGTTATTATAAATTAGGTTTTTCAAAATGTCTCGCGGTCCGGCTGTTGCCCACCGTGGCTCTAGGTAAAATGTACGTTGCAAGTCTGTCAGTGGCTGCATCTTGTAAACCGTGATAGCTAGAGAGTTGAAATTTTCACAGATGACGTATTTCTGTTGCACAACATAATAAAATAAGCTTTTTTTTATAGATAATGGTACGGAATCCTTCTTGCGTGACTTCGACTCGTACTTGGCTAGATATTCTTTTAAACTGACTTCAAAATAAAAAAGGATGAGGTTTTATTTTGTTTTGTTTTTATACCATAACAAAATATGTTTTAAATTAAATATCACTAAAGTATTTAGACGATATATTTATATCGGCGAAAAACAAAAGATAGAGCATTTTATATTTATTCAAAATCAAACGGGTATATGTAATTCTTATGTAAGTAGCTATATTCGTCGATTACTTTATGAATTGTGTACCAATTTCTATTAAACTAGCTGTTTTCCTGCGACTTCAAACTCAAACTCATTTATTGCTTTCATGTGGTGAAACAGATGTTTTTTTTTTATGTACCTTGACATGAACCCTGATAAGGGCACTAGTTAAATTAAACTATAATTATCGTAAAATCAAATTAAATATAGTATAAAGTATGTATCATGCATAACAACGAAATAATAACACAATTAAAAAGTTTTTTGCATCTAAATTGTCATTACTAATATACTGTTATATAATTATATTCTTGTAAATTATAGTCTGTCCCCCGCTGGTAATGTAGTTTCACGAAGGTGATTTTTTTTAATTTGTCTAGTACTTACTATGCAAATAAACAAACAATTAGTATAGAGGTTTATTGGAAAAAATATATACTGAACGAATAAACAAAATCTTTTTTCCTAAGACTTTTTACTCACGTAGAGTATTATTTCTCACTTTTTGGAAGTTTGAAGTCGGTTCTTTTTTTTTAAAAAGAAAAATATATGTTATGGTATTTTTTTATAAATAGTAAAAATTTCAAGAGTTTCATGCTTATTGGTACAATTACGATGATCATAATATTTTATACAACTCGAATAATTATAAGATATAAATATATACTTTCATTACACATGAACTCTAGGAAAATGTCTTAGCCAAATAGTTTGGAGAAACTAGATTCCCGATATCATGTTTTACTTTCATGCGTCATGCACGATAGATGGTGTTGTGAAAATAGACTTCCCTAGGTCAATGTCATTACGCCGTCGATTTTTAAATATCTCTGCTGTTAACATATTAGTTACCAATATTTTAAGAGAGTCCTATTACAAATGCAAACAAGCTACATAAAAACATGCTAAATAAACACAAATGGAACTCGGACGGTCAGTGCATCGCATTCTATATCATATTTAACGTTTTTATTGAAATATAATAATAAATATCTTTATTGACAAATGCCACTAGCCCCGTGTATCCCGAGATGGGAGTCGAACCCACAACCTTTCGCAATTCGAGTTACTGCTCTAACCATTGTGTGCCCGAGACCCATTACAAGACTGACGATTTTTTAAAGCACTTGTTACATTTCGTTACTCGTTAATATATTTTCAATATTCAGGTAATCCATAGCAATAAAAAGTAGAAAGAAATGTTTTTCAAATATTTTAATCTATTTGTTAAATTATATAAGATGAAAAGTCAAATTTAGTAATATAGTTTTGATTCGAAGATCAAGAACGCCAAAATTTGCCATTTTAAGCAAAAATTAAAACAATTAAGGTTAAATAGAAATTAAGAAAACTTTGCATATTTCTTTATGGTTTCATTTGTCAAACAAAAAATATATATAATTATATCTAAAACTAATCCTCCTGCACGGGTAGCATGACGAACTAGAGAGAACGTTTTGTCTACACTCAGATGTCACTTTTCTCGGGTGCGCTCATGCAACATCTCACTCTCGACCCGAGAAAGTGACATTTGGGTGTAGACAAAGCGTTTCTCGAGTTTGTCATGCTACACGTGCTGTACAGTCAGTAAAATAGTGACAAGTTGTGTAACACTTTCTGTCATGGTAGCAGTCATTTGTTATAAATGTCATTATCATACAAAAAAACATGTTTTTACATAACTTTGTTTCCAAATCATCACCACCAGCCCTTTTACGTCCCCACTGCAGGGGCTCAGGCCTTCCTTATGGATGGTTAAAGAGGATGGGCCATGACCCTCCACGCTGGCCCAATGCGGATTGGATGGTATTAACGACTGCAAATGCAGCCGGGACCAACGGCTTAGCGTGCCTTCCGAAGCACGGAGTAGCACGAGATAATAATTTTTTATTTACACTAAAAAATAAAAAATTTGATTACAGTAAAAAATGCAAATACCCCGTTAAGTCCCGTTTATATAATTTCATAACATAATAGTAATATTTATCAAATCTTAAAGAAGTAGAAGAAGAAGAAGAAGAAGTCATTATATTTGATTAATTTTGCATTAACAATGTTATACAGAAAAATATTTTTACTAAAAATGCTTTAAAAAAATCAATTTTGTTCCATGTTTCGAACCCATGACCTTTCTCTCTGTAGTAGCAAAAAAGTAACAAGTGCTTGAAAAATTCGTCAGTCCTGTTAGGTTCTGGGTAACTCAATGGTAAGAGCATTCGCACGAATTACGAAAAGTAATGGGTTCAAGTCTGATCACAGAGTGCCAGGGACAAAGTGGATTTTCTAAGCATTCTTATTAAGAATATTCATAGAAGTTTCTTGTATAACACATATTATATTAATCGTCTCGTACAACTCGTAGTTTAGTAAATATTGTCTTGATTTTTTTTATTTTTATATATTTTTAGTTTCTGTGGCGGGTTTAATTTCGTGCCGGATATCTACTATAGTTCTGTGACAAAGCTATAACTATTATAAACGTATATAACGAGATCCGAGTCCTATCAGCTGTAAAAATATCTGTAACTAATTAGTTACACTTTTTCTATAATTTATGGTGTACAATAAAGAATTTATTCATTCATTAGACCAGTGATTCTCAACCTTTTATTTGTTGCGGCACATATTTAACGATTTTAAAATTTGGCGGCACACAAAGAAAAAGATAAAAACTATTTACTTCCTAAAACACTGCATAAAACGTTTATAAAAAACTTTTTAATATACGAAAAAAACTAATATATGCATTAATAATGTTTAAACGTTTATTAAGGGATTAATTACAGGCTAGTAATAATAAAAAAAATCGATAGAATTTAACAATGTTAACATCGTTATATATTGGCAAAATATGGCGGCACACTTTTGAAATTTCGCGGCACACAAAAGTGCCGCGGAACAGTGGTTGAGAATCACTGCATTAGACCCTATACTGTTAACAGGGAGGACTTGGTTTGTATGTTTGCATTAAATAGGCTCCAAAATTACTGGACCGATTTGAAAATTTCTTTCACCCTCTATACGGGAAGCAACATCGCCTACCTACGGTGTGTCTGCAGTTGCCATATACTATAATTTATGAGGGCGAAAAAAAGAATTTTAAATATAAACTGATAAGTATATAAATATTACCCACTAAGTATCAATACACGTTTGTCGTTACAAAAATAGTATAAGTGAGAAATTCATTATAGTACCAAGATACGAATCTTGATCTGGCGAGAAATTTTGAAATGCCAAAACACATGCGCTAATAAATTCATCTCGCACTTAATCAAACGGACTCGGTGCGATTAAGCTAAACATGAGTGCATCGTTACAAATTATTTCATATAATAAATCATGCATGTTTTTATTTTTAAATCTGCACAAATATGGGGAATTACGTAGCTAAAACGAGTAGTGTGCTATTCTGTTATAAAACAGGCGCGAGCTCATCGTTGACCACTACGCCGTCATAGCATAGAGGTCATTTATATCATTGAAACTCTATGCTAGGGCAGCGTTGGGCTCGACGACGAGTAAGTAACTATTTTTTAAAGAATAGCCGAAGCCGATTACTTTATTATAGCCAAATTGATAACTGGCAGAATTTAATAACCATTTCGGGGTTTTTAACGACTTCAAAAATTTTAACAATTTATTTTCAGTATTTTTGAGGTAACCGTACATAATTACGACAAGTTTAACATTTTTTCAATTTTGCCTAGGTTAGATAGGTACCTAATACACAGGTAAAATAATCCGTTATTTAAATATACGATTTGACCTTAATAAAAATTAGGAATTATTAAAAAATATGCGTCTAATTGTTTCCTAAGTGCTTACCAAAATATACTCGTATAGTAGACTCATTGAAATAGTGAAAAGGTGAAAACAAAAAAAGCAGACAGCAAAAATAGCACGATCCAAAATATTTACGTTTCACTCTTTCAAACTATTAGTCAATGTCTTTCATTTACCTACAGTAAGTATTTACCACACTAGTGAACTTTGAAACAATATTTATTTACTAAACCACCTACACAGTTATTCTGCACTTCATATTAATTCAACTTTCGTAATAATATTAACAGTATACAAATAATAATATATTTTATAATTTTCACAGAGCAATCGACCGCTTACGGCTTGTTCAGGAAGACGGGACGATTCACACCACCTGCTAGATCTATCCCACGCTTCCGAAAATATAATATTGAAGATTTCCACTTCATCAAAGTACTTGGAAAGGGCAGTTTTGGCAAGGCAAGTCACTTTTATAATATTACGAACTCTTTACTTAGCCGCTGCTATCGGCTGCATCGTAGTAATTGCGTGCAGTCGGATCGGCAACTATGCAAATTATATTGCATAATTGCAGTTTAGGTCGTAAAATACCGTTAAGATGCTATAAGACTTTATCTTAAGATATCTAAATTAGCTTTATATGTTCGAATTCGACTGACCGACCGCACGTGGTGGAAATCACCACTGTATTTAGTTTTAACATCGATATTGCGACTACAAAGTTAACTGAAGACTAAATAGTTAATATCACGACTAAACTGCATGCAGTGGAATATATCGACTACGCGCGGTTGATGCAGTCCAGTCTGTCTGAGGGTTAACAATATTCATACATCAATACCACAAGTAATACTATCAATATAGAAACGATAAGTTTTCAATAAAAATATTCACTAAGCTTTTTTATGATAAGATTATTCCATAAAAATAACTTTGACAAAGACCTAATAAGAATCTCTCAAATATGGGAATAAACAAGACAATATTATTGATTGGTCTTTTTTGATAAAATGCTGATGAGTTAATCGCGAAAAACCGTCTGTAAAATATAGCACATTATCTCCCTGGTTTGTACGTCGAAAAGTATTGACTTTTAAAATGTTTAAATAGTTAAATATTTGCTCCCCAAGAAGGGATGCTTTAACTCTGGACTGGACCCCAGAATAACAGCAATCGCTGGCACAGCCAAACATAAAACTATATTTTTTTGAAAATCCGGGCTGCTTTATAAATTTTATACAGAAGATACGTCATTAACTAGTGGTGTTCCTGTATAGGTAACATCTTAATCTACTTACGTTTTTGAGTAAACACAATGATCGGTGCCTGATGATGGGTAAATTTTAATTGGTAAACTTTAAACTTATTACAAAACAATAGAAAAGGGTTCATTGTAACCGAATTCCGGTACCTTATGATGTAAATAAAATTCTGCCTCCGTGAATCCAAAAACTTCAGTAGTATACATAGAAGTCTTTGTTCAGCTCAGATTGATTTACTTGTCTTTGGACTAGGTTATCTAGTCATGCGTCCAAAAATATACAAAAAAGAAAACAAATGAAATAAATGTTTCAAAGCTTTCCAAGTAAAAGTAATGTGTCATTTAATTGAACAAAGTCATTGTCCAGACTAAAAATATATCTAAACCGCTAAATGATTCCTGATAACAATTAGCATTGTTTGCTTTTCCGATGACCCAAATGAGCGGTCCGGTGTCGAGTGCCAAAATCTCAACTGCTAACAGATTTAAAAATGGAACAATATAGTCTTTAAATGCGATATCGACAATAAATGACCGATGTTACTTATAGTATTTCGCTCAAGTACTTTCATAATGTACCACAATAAATAAGAACCAAAGAAATCAATTTATAAAATGTTGAATATACAATTTTCATTGCATGTTATACAACAATGTTTTTCCTGCTCTTCTAACTGTCTATGTGAACGGTATAAATTCATGAATGACTGATCGAATTACCGAAGAAATTCATGAGGAAAGCTTGAAGGTGAAAATGCGCAAGGAAAACGCGCCATGGCTCACTACGCGGGTAATAATGGCTGCAGATGCAACTGACCAACGACTTAATAGGGTTACCGAAACGTGTCTTCTGAAGAACGAACGAGCTCAAGATAATAAATAGCTACCCAACCTATGACCGCCCCTTGAGAAAAGTTTATTTCTTAAAACTTCCTTAACCTCGGCATCGTAGAACGAATGTGTTAACCACTGCACCAAAAGCAGTTTTTCTTAAAAAAAATTGAAAAAGTTTATAGTGTGAATATAAATTTACTTTCTAAGACACTATTTTGATGAATACGTTCTCAGATCCGCCCCTTTCAGATACTTTCAAAACAGAACTCGGTCATAACTATTTAGGTTGCGGGTGTCTACAAATACACGGAAGAACATGACATAATCAGCACTCAGCAGCTAAATTATAATAGCCAATTCAAAAACAAAAAACGTCAGAATGTTCTAATTTTTGTTTCAGTTTAGTAACAGTCATTTCATGAAAGATAATTTGTTATTAGATATTATCCAGACGAAATAGAAAAACCAAATTTCCACTTGAAACTTTTCATAATATTTATTAAGTATTACTTATTTTAACATTTGCAATAATTATTATGTTTTTTATTTTTATTATAAGAAATAATTTGTCTTCTCTATTCTCATTATATATCAACACATAAATAAAAAGGAGTCTATTAAAATGTCTGCTTTATAAACCTAATTTCACTCGCAATAAAGTACAAAATAAATGGACTTCTGCAGCTTTATGCAGTCTTCTCAAGAGGTGCAAATGTCACATTAGAAATAGGCATCTGTGCTATTTTAGACCTTGCTCTTAGATAAGTGGAGTCGTGGTCTTATTTATTTTGTAAACTAGTATTCTATTTTGATTGAAATAGGTACGCTCATCAAAATATATGTTAATAGGAGATGTCATGCAAAATGTTCTGGTATTTCTGCTTTGAGATAACATATAATAATCGTATTTGTTTTGAGGAGTTAATAAATTATAAAAAAAATATTATACTAATACATATGTTATTTACAAACCAGTGTAAATGTAGTTAATGGTGATTTAACCCACCTCTGGTATTTTTTTTTAAAGTACGCGCTCATTTAGTGTATAGTCGTAGGTTCGAATCAAGTCAAAGATATTTCATTGTTTTTCTAAGATAATTATATTGTGAAAGTGAAACTGAATAAAAGTAACGATTAAAGGTAATAAATATTCACTTGATTTGTATTATTTAATAACTTAGCTCTACAATATCATAAACAAATAGTAATATATGTTACCATAACCGTTAATGTGAATGGTGGATAATTTCACGTAAATGCAAAACGTTAGCCGGACACATCCAAAAATAACATCAGCGAAATAAAACAAGGGATATTGCCAAGAAAAAAATCGGTATTCGTCTTCATACATATAACAACATGTTAGTCAACGTGTAACGCCCGATGAATTCTGTTAGGCGTTCGATGAGAGACGGACAGACTAATACAGTGTATGTGACACTACGGTCTGGAATGAAAATGTGATAATAATGCCCCCGCACTAACAATGGTTTAAAAATAATTTGAACTTTTCGCGTTCAGTGTCTACGTATGATCGCTAGTACATATAGCTAGACTATAACATCTGTGGTATGACGCTGTCTTGTTGAATGGTGCAGGAAATCTATACCTGACTACACTTTATTGTTTTTCCAACTTTTTTCTAGACTAATATTATAAAGAGAAATTATTTAATTGTTTGTTTATTTGCATTGAATAGGCTCCGAAACTACTGAACCGATTTAAAAATTCTTGCAGCATCAAACGGTGTTGAAATAGGCTGTAATTTACGCATGCGAAGTCGCGGGACCAAAGCTAGTTTGTAATAAAGATTAGTGTAATAAAATAAACCAAATGATATATCAACATACTGCTCAAGTTACTGAACGGATTGAATTGTATAATTATTATGGGTTTTGAAAGGGTTTTGAGCTAAGAAAGGAATAAATAAGGATTTTGAAAAATGATTTGGATATTAAAATAATAAAATAGAGGTTTGAAAATAATGGAAGTTAGTTTAATAATAAAAATGCAAACTTTTATAAATTATTTGAAACTGTTTATTCAGTTAAAGTAGAATATGAAAACGTATATAGAAGATTACACATGAAGTGAAACTAAAAAAACCTATATATATATATTTTTTAATACATCAAATAATTAACTTAAATAAAAACTAAAAAGAAAAAAACAAGCCCAGTAATTTAGAATTCTGTTAAGTAATACTAAATATCTACACAATTGAAATAGTTTTATAATCGATACACACATAAAACAAATCATAAATTCTAATGCAGAACAGAACGACTCATAGTCGGGGCCCCTTGGGAAGATTTCAATCCAATCAAATCTTCCCAAGTGGCCCCGACTATGAGTCGTTCTGTTAGATATACATATAATACCACATACATAGACTGATAAACACATTACCCTCCTATACGTCGCGCAGTCGGGTAAAAAGTATCTTACAGATTTCGAGGGCAAATAAATGCACTTTTCATTTAATGTTTCTGAAGAACATTGTTTGAATACGTGTTTTTGTAGATTTTATTAGTATGTTTGTATGTTTTGAATGTTTTTGGTCATTAAACGAAGCAGTTGGTAGTGTAAAATTAATTAAAGTTTATATAGAAAGCCTTACAGAATATATTTTTGTATTTATCATATGAAAAATACTACAGCGATATTTCGGCTTTATGATAACTTTATAAAAAAGATGTTCTATTTAGATGTTATTTGTTTTTACTTTAATTTAACAAGAAATGGCTTAAACAATAAGCATTTGTGTTGAAGGGTGAGGGCTCGCTACATCATAACTATGTTGAAAATGTACAATGATGTGACGTCATTTTACCTCGAAATAAAAAACTGGTACATATCGTCTATGAAGAGTCAATAAATAATAACTGCAAAAATGCAACTTTTCAGGAGACGAAAAAAACGTTTCAAATCTATTATATTGGTTTTTTCAGTACATTGCAATTATTGTTTATCTTACAAAACATAAGAAACGAACCCAAAATCTTTGTCACTATTGTGTAGTAATCTATTTTACAACGAATAATATATAAAATAATACAATAAAACAAAAATTGACAAAATATCAGTTATTATTTATTGACTCTTCATGGGCGATATTCTTAATGAATAATGCTTAAAAGCTATAAAATTTTAATTGCAAAATTGATCAATTATAGTAAATAGTACACCTATTATAATAAATAGTTTAATATTCATTACTAATCTACCCAACGGACAGACCAACAAAATTGTTATCATCCCTATTGTAGATACTCGATGCAAAGTCAATTCGTAAACGATGATTTTTGTGCTAAGAACTCACTATTTTCGTTATCATTAGCAGTGAGTTCTAAATGTCATACAATGGGCGGGATACGTTCCCAGTTGAATCGTCGTCAAGTGGTCAAAGTGTGTCAAACAGTTAGGAAATCAAATGGAAATAGAATTTACTACCTGAACGTATATACCAAAATAGATCGTATATCTAGGTCGCTGGAGAACACTTGGTTTTCAATTGCAATAACTAAGCGTCAACAGTTTATGTTAATAGGTTCTTTTAAATGTAAAATATATCATAGTATTTGAATGTAATCACGTATTTGTTAATATTCCAGGTAATAAATAGAAAAAATGCGCTTAAATGCGTTGGGGTTCCATCTATTCATTAACAAAATTACCAGAGATCTGCTCTCATTAACAAAACCTTAATACAAATAAAAGTTCCTTAACAAAAAAAACAATGTCACTTAAAATTATGAAATATTTTTTTTTTCTCCAAAAATAGAACCGGCTTCAAACTTTAAAAAGTGAGTATTAAGATAAATATTATTTCACAAACTTTAAAAAAGAGAATTAAGATACATATTATTCTCAATGAAAAACGCTTAAAAAATCCACTTGGTCCCTGGCACCCTGAGATGTGATTCGAAACCATGACCTTTTGCAATCCGGGCAACTGCTCTAACCCAACTGGGGGCCAATTCTACTAAGTTAATTTTGTTTAAATCGAATCGAAAACGGATCGAAACCGAACGAAACTACATTTTCTATTCTACAAAGTGACATACGATACAATTCCAGTTCTATTTTAGCTGGAATTGTATCGTCACTTAGTAGAATAGAAAAACCATTAAAAATTTAGTTTCGTTTGGTTTCGATCCGTTCTCGATCCGTTTCCGATTCGATTTAAACAAAATTTATTTAGTAGAATTGCCCCCCTGAGCTACTCAGGACCTAATAGGACTGACGAATCTTTCAAAAACTCGTTACTTTTTCGCTATTACAGAGCGCATTCTCAACAATGTTCAGGCAATCCATCCAAACAACCGAAAACAATATTTTCACAAATATTTAAAAGTTTCGATAAAGATTAATTTTTTTAAGCATTTTTCTTTAAGAATATTTTTCAGTATAACATTGAGAATGTGAAATTTATCAAATGTAATATAAATATTATTTCTCACTTTTTGTGGTATAAAGTTGATTCAATTTTTTTTTGGGTGCGTAGGTACGTCTATCAAAAATATTTTCCCAATTTTACCTCCATAGTTTCTCTAACATAATAAAAGGGTTATGAATTCACCATTAAATTGAAAATATAGGTAGGTAAGTAGGTAATTAATTGTGAAGCGTCGTTGACACATTTTCACTTTTCAACACACAAACTCAATTCGTCTCCTAAATTATATTTCTTTTTAATGTTAACCGTATTCTCAATGACAAAGATGAATTACAAAAATATTGTTGGAATAAATCAAAGCATTATAGTCCATTTGTTTTCGTATGATGATGAATATAAATAAACATCGTATCGTACGTCTGATGAGACAACACAATATGACTTCAAAGACGGAAAAATAATGATATGCCTCCTTACTCTGGTACTTCTATAAAATAATTTTGGCAAGGACAATGAACTCAATGTGATCTCAAAATGTTATTTTAGATACTAATCTATTGGTATTTAGTATTAAAGAAAAAAAAATACGAAGTTCACAATTACGTATGTGTTAAAATTATGATACAAAAATGACACCAAACCTAAATTTATCCACACTAAAGCACCCGCTGAAATCACTTATAACACTCGTATCTATATAACAGTCGAGTAGAAGTAATGTCATAATTCAGGAAAATATTTTTAGCAAATGAAATAAAAACTTGAAAAAATTTGAATACTATTTTTATATTTATTTACTAGCAAGCTATCAATAAAGTTATTGACAGTTAATCATACACATTGTCGTCTATTGGTTTATGACTTTTATTAAAATAATTACTTCTACACGACCGACACTTAGAAGATATCTCAGACGTGAGCTTGTATGAGATTAGTAGGTACCAAATTATGGCTCTTAAACATCTAAAAACCTTAACAAGGTGGCCGGCGGGTGGTGAAAGAATAACTGCAGAGATCTTGTGAGACTTCGATTCCGTTGTCCTTTAGAGAAAAACGCCAAAAAAAAAGAAATACAATATTGCCACGATGTCAAAGCGTGATACGAAGGCATACATTAATGTGATAAAAATTAATATTGTTTATGAATATATAAAGTGTAGTAAATGGTTTATTAATAAATGCTTGTTAACTTTAACCGCTTCGATGGCAATTTGCCATTTCATGTAACTGCCGTCACGGTTCACCTGTGCCCAGTTCCATTAAACGTAATGGGATAAATCACATAAATACATACATATATTTCTGTGGGATAAATGGTGTGTATGTTTGCTTTTGTCACCATGGAGCGTATGTCGTCGTCATTTTGGAACGATTTTTTTGTGTAGAAATAAATAGGATACCTAGAACTTTTTACCGGGAAAATACATCTTGTTTCCATTTTCCTTTTCATAATTTTTTAGTCTTTATAGAACTTGCCTTACTGGCCTAATTCTCAAGGCATACGATACGTACGTTATTAAAGTACATGATGAAATGAATTAGCGCTATAACCCCACTAAGTTGTCTTATCTTAGCTAAACTAGAGGTATAGCTCTGATTATAGCTAGAGAAGTTAGGCGGTCACTCTGCAGGCTGTACTAGAGAGAGGGGGGGGATTGACTTCTCTATATTGTCCCGGGTTTGAGTATTGTGGTACCTTTGTTGTCTCAGATACTTTATAATACGAGGGCTTTAACTCAGATTACAAGGTGAATTGTGATCTGAGCAATCTGATTTCGTCAAATAATTTTTAAATTATTCATTTAGATTAAATTGTTTTTTATTTCGACACTACTATTAATGCTACTGAACTGGTTCATCGGCGTAGTCAGTACCGACTGTACCCGCCTTCCTGGAGTCACACGCCTTTGACTCGGGGCCAAGAATACGGAGAAAGCGTGATATATTCACTTTATTTAATGAAAACCCCTACAGACTGGGTGTCACATATGTTTCCGGGGACATATATCAGAAGTTAATTCTGCTAATTTTATTTTTGACAATTTGTTAGGTGAGAGAGAGACTTGGACGTATTTACTTGTGCTAATTTAAATGTGACAGTCGTGTTGAAGTTGTGTATAAGAAGCTGATTATCAAAGACAAATATTATCAAAACAGCATTATTGGCATGAATGTACAGATAGAATTTATAAAAACTATGTTGAATTTCTTTCGTCTTTTATTATAAACGCGTGAACGCAGTGGCGGACTAACCTCGTCGAGGGTCTGGGGCAGTTTTTCCAACCAGGGCAGAATCTTAATATTGTGTTTTCACCTCCCTGCTGACACGCCTGCTAAAACTACGAAACTGTCCATAAGAAAGATAAGGTGATTTGACCAAGAGAACTAGCAGCCATTTGGAGGCCCCCTTAGTCTGTCACTACATAAACGTTTGCATTTTACCAGTTAATCCATCCAAAAGCAAGTGTTTTTTTAAACATTTTTCAGAATAGCTTAAATTAAACTTTAAAATTGATAAAACATATTTATTGTTGTAAAAGTTATAAAACTCATTTAAAGTTTATACCTTTATTTGAGACATCTAAAACAAATAAATAATTGTTATAATGCCATAATTCATTAAAGGAGACTTAATGATCCTTAAAATTCTAAAGACAAAAGTAAGAGACTTCGATAATTAAACTGATTATAAAATTCTTTAACGATAAATTCTTAAAAATCCACTAACCCTAGGTACCACGAGATGGAATTCGAACCCACAAACGTTTCCCAATCCGGGCAAAAAATGTAAATACAAAATTAATTAAATAATATAACATATAAAAGTGGTGGCTACCAGGAGTAGCTTCGACTTCGGACAGCTGCAACTATTATTAGATTGTAATGTCACTTCCCACCAGGTATATTACAGTCACTTTGTCGTGCTGCAATAAAAAAAACTTTTATTAAAATTGTGTCTTGAAAACATCGGAAAATTATTTCTACGATAAGAAAATGTCTTCAATAAAAAATCTGATTAGTTCTAAAACGTATTGAATGTTTTATTAAATACCTATAATATTTTGTGCAGGTACTTCTAGCAGAGTTGCGGGACACAGAATATTATTACGCCGTGAAATGTTTAAAGAAAGATGTTGTGTTGGAGGACGACGACGTGGAGTGCACCCTCATCGAGAGGAAGGTGCTGGCCCTCGGCACTAACCATCCCTACCTATGTCACTTGTTCGCGACCTTCCAAACGGACGTAAGTGAAATTTGGAATCACCTATCTTAAATGATACTGCTTTCCGCCAGCGGCATCACCTCCATTGTTCCTAGGGAATTGATTAATGGGATAAATATATAAATAGGTGATACTTTGTTATTTTTTAAATAAATAGTCCATTAATAGCTGAGAAATAATGCAGGAGTAATGGCATTTCTGCGATTAATACGAGGGTCAAACTGAAAGTTCTTAGAACTGGCCACTTATAAACAATATAATAAAAAAATAATTCTAAAATTTGAAAATATAACTCTTTGCCAATATTACTGAGTATATATTTCATTAATTTGTCATTTGTTTTACGATTTGGCGGCAAATTGAAAATTGTCTGTGTCACGTCATCATGAATTTAACACGAGAAAATTTTCGTGCAATGATTTTTTATGACTTTCGATGTCATTTAAGTCAACAAGAAAGTTATGATAGACTACGATTGGCCTTTCACGATGAAGCCCCATCTCGTGCGACTGTTTACAACTGGTTTAATGAGTTTAAACGTGGTCGCACTAATCTCACTGATGATTTACGTGAGGGACGGCCTTCTACGGCGACGACTGAAGATAACATCTGTGTTGTGCGGCGTATGATAGAGACTGACAAAAGAGTGACCTATCAACAGATTCGGACAAGCTTAGGCATCGGTATGAGTCAAGTGCACAAAATCCTCCACGAACATTTAGCGGTCAGGAAGCTTTGCGCCCGGTGGATACCTCATAATTTGACTGAGGCTCAAAAACTCCATCGTGTGGATTGGTGTCGTAAAATGATTGAAAGATTTAACGGAGGTGACTCAAATGCTGTGTTCGACATACTAACAGGTGACGAAAGCTGGATTTACTGTTATGATCCTAAAACCAAAAGACAATCTGCTCAGTGGGTGTTTCCTTTCGAGGAGTTGCCAACTAAAGTGAAGAGAGATCGAAGTGCGGGAAAAAAAATGGTGGCCTCGTTCTTTGGAAGGATAGGTCATTTTGCAACAATTGTGTTAGAGGATCAAAAAACAGTTTCTGCAGAATGGTACACTACCAATTGTTTGCCACTTGTCTTGGAAAAAGTTCGAGAGAAACGACCTCGCAGTAGGATCCTCCTTCACCACGACAACGCCTCGTCGCACACCGCCAAGCGAACGATCGACTATTTGGCGACATCAAACGTTGAATTACTGGGTCACCCGCCGTATAGCCCCGACCTCGCGCCTTGTGATTTTTATTTATTTCCAAAAATTAAAGAAAAACTTAAAGGAAAGCGGTTTATGAATGCTGAAGAAGCGGTGGCTGCGTATCGCGATGCCATTGAAGAGACCCCTAAGGACGAGTGGGCAAAGTGCTTTTCCCAGTGGTTCCATCGCATGCAGCGGTGTATTGACGTGAATGGACAATATTTTGAAAAGATATAATAAAACTAATAACTGGCTAATGTAATCAATTTTTGATTTTCTAAGAACTTTCAGTTTGACCCTCGTAGTTTCGGAGATACGATGCTATAAGTTAAAGTTTGTATTTGAGTTGGCGTCAGTTCTGACTGTCATTATGGAGCTAATTTCTAATTTAATTTAATTAAGGGCTAAACAAACAACGAGTTGGTTATTGACAGTAACATAAAAGCAATCAGCTTTTTTGCCCTCCCAATTTCCAATGAGAACTAATGGCAGTTTATAATTTTAGTCCCACTTGTTCTTCGTGATGGAGTACCTGAACGGGGGTGACCTGATGTTCCACATCCAGCAGAGCGGACGGTTCCCGGAGGCTCGTGCGCGTTTCTACGCGGCTGAGATTGTCTCGGGACTCAAATTCTTGCACAAGCGAGGCATTGTCTACAGGTAGAATAACATTGTACATATAACAATATCTTAAAACCTGTATAGGATACAAATAACCGAATGAAAATGAAAAAAAATGAAAATATCTTTATTCAAGTAGGCTATTACAAGCACTTTTGAATCGTCCAAAAAATTTTTTCCCCCTACCACTTGTTCAGGACGTCCTTTAGCTGACAAGAAGAACAAGCGAATGCAACTTACCAGCTCTTTATCATAAGTTATGACATTTACATAAATTATGTCATTACCAAAATGATATGTATTATCACAATAATAAATACAACTTTAAAGTCTGTAGATCGTAGGTTATAGATCATAGATTTATAGAACAAAGCGAAGGCAATTAATTCCATGCATTGCGATCCTTAAAATAATCATCAACTTAAAATAGCCTTTACTCATAAATATGTTATTTACATGAATTTTAAATTTATGTATGGGTAGGTCAATTACATTTGTGGAACTTTATTGAACATAGCAATGCATTTACTCAGAAATTATCCTCTGGTTTTCTCAAGTCTGAAGCTTGGAACGGCAAGTTTATTTTTATTTCTTGTGTTAAGATTATGAACACTACTTTTTTTTATGAAGGAATCGTAATGTTTTCTTGCGTACATAATATTTTCATATATGTATTGAGAGGCAACAGTCAAAATATTTATTTCTTTAAATATTTCTCTGATAGAATCTCTAGACCGTAAATTATATATAGCGCGGACAGCTCTCTTTTGTAGAATAAAAATATCTTGAATGCTAGCCGCAGAACCCCACAACAATCTTTTAGGTAATGGAGATTTTTAAGAAAAAACATTAAAATCCAAGTCAATGTAATATTTAAAATGTAAAATATTGAATATACTTATTATTTTTAACAACAGTTGAAGTGAAACCTTAGCTGAGATCAAACATAGCTACTTTTTTTGATTTGTTTTTTTACTTGAATGTTAAATGAACTCGAAAACAAATTAGTGTAACACTTACACGTTGATTGTTTCAGGGATTTAAAATTGGACAATATTCTGTTAGACTTTGAGGGACACGTGCGCATTGCGGACTTCGGCATGTGTAAACTTCAAATATATCTGGAGAAGACCGCGGACACGTTTTGCGGCACACCAGACTATATGGCTCCTGAGGTAAGAACCACTGCTCACACTTTAACGGATCTGATAAAATATGACTAATTAAACAGGAAATTTCGTTTTATTGAACGCTGGGAGCGGCAATCGTATTTGAAAAATTGTTACTTGCATAAAAGAATATGAATCATAAGGAAGGCCTGAGCCCCTGCAGTGGGGACGTAAAAGGGCTTTTGATGATGATGATAAAAGAATAAATAAATAAAACTACTATCAAGTTTCTGCGTCGGTTAAAAGAATCGTAAATCAGGGGCTGCTTGATGAAACCACATGAAAATTCGTTTGGTAGTTTCGGACAGACTCAATTTCTGATTTATTATATAATAACTAGTAATAATGTAATTAAAATACTTTACTATCAAATATATCTTAAATTCCAGATAATAAAGGGCTTAAAGTACAACCAGACAGTGGATTGGTGGTCGTTCGGCGTGCTGCTGTATGAAATGCTCATCGGACAGAGTCCGTTCAGCGGCTGTGATGAGGACGAGCTGTTCTGGTCCATATGCAACGAGATGCCTTCCTATCCCCGCTTCCTTTCGCAGGAGGCCCTCACGATACTTACTAGAGTAAGACAGATTATGACCAAAACTATATAGACAGTGATTTGTCATAAGCAAAATTTTTGAACCTATATTAGGGCCTAAATTATAAGAACTAAAAAGGGGCGGCTAGTATTACATCACCTAGGGCGACTAAGCCGCCAAATCCGCCTCTGAATCTATAAAGATAATTGGGATGATAAGTATTTTTTTTTATCAGTCCGTCAGGTAGATTCATTTAAGATATTAAACACTTATTATTTTATTTGTTGGGTAATCAAAAATTTACGGCGATACAATGAGTTGAAATGTTGCATAACATCACTATGTTACAAAATTATACATATATTAATGAGACACACTAGAAAAATCTATAACATTTCCTTTTTAAAATCAATTTTTTCTATAATATTCTAGAATGTTGTAGAACATTCTAGGTACTTCTGGTGTAGGGTACATAAAGCCGCGCTCGCGATTTGTTTAGTCAGTTTGAAGAAAAATGGACGAGCGACAAGTTCGAACACTATATTTATACGAGTACTTGTTAGGCCACAGTGCGCGGGCTGCGGCTGACAATATCAACAATGCATTAGGCGCTGGAAGTACAAGCCATGCGACGGTGTCCCGATGGTTTGACCGTTTTAAATCAGGAGACAGGAGCCTTGAAAGTCAGCCACGCTCAGTGCGACCACCCGCAGTGAATGATGACGATTTGCGCCGCGAACTGCAGTTGAATCCGGATGCTACCACTCGTGAATTAGCGGAAGCACTTAAATGCAGTCACCACGCCGTGGAATACCATCTGCATGAGCTTGGTTATCGAAAAGTTTTGGCTCGGTGGGTACCGCACATCCTTACAGACTCCAGTCGTGCAGTCCGTGTCGCTATCTGTCAGTCACTTTTGCTGCGACCCCGACGTAAAGAGTTTTTGTCAGATCTGGTTACTGGAGATGAATCATGGATTTATTACGAGAACGATACACGTCGTGCTTTTTGGCTGCCTCGAGAAGAAACGCCACCAACTCAACCGAAGCCGAGTCAAAAGAACCACCGAAAAATTCTGCTTTGCTGTTTCTGGGATGCGCAAGGCATACTGTTTTATGAGCTATTACACAATGAAACTATAAACGCTGACAAATATTCAACCCAGCTTACCAAATTATCTGCCGCTATCAAGAAAAAACGACGAAGACGAGTCAATGTAGTTTTACTGCACGATAACGCTCGACCTCACGTCGCATCTGTGGTTCGCCGGCAGTTGGAGAACTTGGGCTGGGAGCACGATACCCCACCCACCTTATTCCCCAGACCTCGCCCCATCAGACTATCATTTGTTTAGAGCCCTGAAACAGCATTTGCGGGGTAAACAATTTAATGATTTCTCTGACGTAGAGGCGGAGTTGAACAACTTTTTCGAGGCACAGCCATCAGAGTTCTGGGCAAAAGGCATCCAAACTTTGCCGGATCGTTGGCAAGAAGTCTTAGATACTAATGGTAATTACATCATTGACTATCCTTTTTTTATTGTAATAATAATAAGAAAGTAAAAACTTAAACCAAGTGTCTCATTACTTTTGTGCCAACCCGATAGTTGTGACGTAGCGATCCCCACTCCTAAACTTTAATACCTATTTCTCAGCCATTTCTAGTTAAAGTGAAGCAAAAAAATACGTATCTAATATCTGACTGACGGACTAAAAATATTATTATTTTTACCCAGACATCATCCCTTTAATAATAAAAGTTTCATGAATTAATTAATTAATGTAATATTTCAGTTATTGGACAAAGACGCGAGGACGAGGCTGGGCGGCACAGAGTGTATGCACGGGGACGTACGCGACCAGGAGTTCTTCCATCCCATACACTGGGACCGCCTCGAGAGGCGGGAACTGGACGCGCCTTTCAAACCACGTGTGGTAAGCACGACTCTACTACTAAAACACAATTTTAGGTCATATATCTAAACTTATAACCAGTGGTCGGAATTAGGTAGAGTTATTCATGTACTTACACTGATTTCATACAGCGAAAGAATAAAGTGGATGTGCCTCAAGATTAATTTTAAAGAGCAGAAAAAAATCCCGTGATTTTTTAAATAAAAAGTTATTTACTTTTACACAATTTAAACTACTGCACGCACGACGTTGCCAAACTTACATCAATGACATCGGATGTCCAAAGTTGCAAAATACCAATACATTTGTAGTTCGCACAACATAGCTTGTGAGAACAAAAGAATACAATAGCGCAAATGCGGAGCACTACCTAATTCCGACCTCTGCTTATAACACATGAAAAGGAATGAACGAATAAGTTAACTTCTATAATCTTAGTTATTTGTAGATAAATTTTTCCTTGCATCGTAGCGCGGTAGGTTGTAGCGTAAACGACACCACAGCGCTACGCAGGATGCTACATCGTAGCGTTAGACGCAAAACACACTCTTACTTGAAATCGATGACATATATATTCCATATTTTTCTTTATAGCTGTAAAGCCATTGTTTTAAGAATAATATTATCATCATCATCACCAGCCCTTTTACGTCCCCACCGCAGGGGCTCAGGCCTTCCTTATGGATGGTTAAGGAGGATGGGCCATGACCCTCCACGCTGGCCCAATGCGGATCGGCGGGTATTAACGACTGCAAATGCAACCGGGACCAACGGCTTAACGTGCCTTCCGAAGCACGGAGTAGCCCGAGATAACAATTTTTTGGTCACCCATCCTGTGACCGACACTTGCTAAAGTTGCTTAACGACCACAATCGCAGGCCGCGGCGCTTATGAAGCTTATTTATAATTTGTTCTTCTCATAAGTAGACAATAGACAACACTGATAAATAAAGTTGTAAAATTAACCACACTTTTTTTTAATTGCAGCGGCATCCTCTAGATACTCAATATTTCGACAAAGCGTTCACTGGCGAGCGGCCACGGCTCACAGCAGTCGAGCCTCAAGTGTTACGCTCTATGGACCAGGAACCGTTCAGAGGATTCTCCTATACCAACCCCAACGCGACAGACCGCTAAAACAAACCTCATTTACACCGGAGAAGCTTTCAAATTACCTCGGCAGACCGGGGAGTTGACGCGGACAGAGTAGGATGCTCTAATCCTTTTAAGTCTCAGAGGATTGCCTATAGAGCTAATTCAGTTCTGTTCGAGACTCAAATCTGCCCAAGTTGAAGCACTTGTGAAGAGTTAATTGGCGAAAATTGTTTAGAACATAGAATAATTATTATGTTAATATTCTATTATTTAGAACAAAAATTGTTTTGCGCTGCGTCTCTAAAGTTTCACACAGACTATAATTAAATATATATCTTTCCTAAGAGAAAAAAATATAATTTTTAAATAGATACTATATATTTACTATTAAAAAAGACATGTTTCTGTAATTTATCTATCTTAATAAAAGTGCTTTTAAAATGAAGATATAGAAAGATTGCTTAAAAATAAATAATTCTATACGTGTGAATTTCATAGTGCCATAATAATAGGGAGAGACAGAAAAATATATTATTATCAAAGTAATTAATTAGCTATAGCTAAATATGAAAATCGAAAGGTGTATATTGCATATCACACAATTAAAAAGTTTCGGTTATATATTATTGTTTGTTATAAATAAATGATTTATAAATGTATACTTGTTTCAATTATATATAACTTCTCATTCAAAATACATTTTTATCTATAAATTTATCTGTGTTCTGTGGTGTCTTGACCTATATTTACTCGTGTATTTTTTTTTACCTAAGGCTTTTATCTTAGATCAAATTCCGCCCAGAAATTATATTAATAATTTAATATAAGTTATTACAGTAATTTAGGACAGCACTTTGCGATCCTTCATAGCAGAAGAGCTACTTTGTGTCTAACTTTTAACTCTCTCTTTCGTATACATATCTATTTTTCTCTTATATCTATTTAATATTCTTGTCCCTTTTGCACCTACTTATCAATAACGATTGATTGTCTAAAGGAGATTGCTGCATAGCAATGAGGCCGCCTTTTTGTATTGTCTGATATATTATTTCTTTGTAATGTGTCCTATATTTGTGCAATAAAGAATATTATACTAATTATTAAGCAAATGTGTCCGAAAAGAATTAAATAAGAAAAAAGTTTAAGATTTGATTAGATTTTAATATGTATTCGATATTTATTTACATGCGTCACAATTACTAAAAAAAAATATTATTTTAATAAGCGTCGTTGAGAAATGATTCATTTATTATATTTACAATATATATTTGTTCTATTCGTATTTATACATTCAAAAACTAAATCATGTACCTTCGAGGAAGTTCGCGGTACACTAATTTTCACATAAATATTTAAGTGAGCGCACAAATCTAAATAGAAATCAAAACAAAATAGAATCGTCAACGTAATAGATAAAAAAATGAGTATTGCACATAATATCTACACAGAAAGATCAATCACCAAATAAAAATACAATTTATATAAAATTTCGTGGCATTTCTTACAAAGTGACTCGATTAAATCAACATCATTAACTACAGTTATAGATATACACAAAAACTGTGGTTTAAAGTAAAATTATTATCATAGAGATATTAAACGATAAACAAAAGAGATACGTGATATTTTTGAGATAATTTTATTAGCTCAGAAGTAAATATGGTGCTGTTAGAGTGAGCCTCTCCGTTAGGGTTTAAAAAAAATTAAAATACAAATAAAACGACGAAATAGTATGAACCAGTGGAACTAGCAGCGGTCACGGAGGTTAGAATGAGACTGGCGCGCTCGGGATGCGGGCGCGCCGGCTACAGGGCGAAAATGCAGACGCGGTGATTTATTGGGGTTGTATGCACTTTAGTATACATCTAAGGGATGTAACACCTCCCCCCATTAAGAATAAACTTTAGGGTTAATACTCTGAAGTTTATGAATGATTCTAAAGGTAAAGTGTCTAATTTATTTATGATATTAATATTCTATTTTTTATGTAAGATTTATATTTTACTACGAATTTTAGGAGAGGCCGCGATTTTTGTCTTTTCAGATTCTAATTCTAAGGATGTTGATTCTATAGTTTGATTTTCTTTATTTTTCCTCAATTCCTTTAAAGGCATAACGATTTCTAATTGTTCGTGAGGGCTGCTAGTTCTTTTTATTTTCTTATATAATTTATACAAACAAAATGAAATTACAATTATTAATAAAAATATAATTAGTGTGGAATAGTGTGTCCCATATTTTATGAAGTGAGGTTTATTGATAATCTCATTAAGATCGTTTATGGTTTTTTCATTTAAACCTTGTGGGAAATCTAGAGTTTCTGATTCGATGTTATTTAATTTCACTATGGGAACACTATCCTTGATTTCCTTAAATCTATCTATGTTACAACAGGAGTCATTTACCAAATTAAAATCTATACTTAGTACAGGTAGCGTAATATTTAAAACATTGTAATCAGGTAAAAGCTTGGTGCTTCTACAATAAGCTTTACAATAAGTGGGAATAGTAATAATTCCAGTGCCCAATATTTTTAGATCATTCGGTTGGGTATGGCGACAATCTATAGTTAGTTTACTAGATTTGGATTGTACAAATATCCACCTATTATTCCGTAATGGTTTCCATACATCTAGTTCACCATTTACAAATTCTGTTTTACAATACACTGGAAGGTTTGTAACAATTTTTGATAATAGTTCACTTTCACAGTTAGGGTTGGCAGATGTTGGAAATATGTTCATGATTTTACATAGGTAGTTTTGATAATTGATATTCTTACAATTTTCTAGATCATTTATAGTTGTGTAGTGAGTTTTATCTTTTGTTATATCTATATATTTACTAGATGGGATTATCACACTGAAGGAGTTTGGATTCGACACATTATGAGGAATTGGCAAAGGAATATTGTTATATAAATAAAATTCTAACGAGTTAGTAAGAGGGATTGTTAGTATAAACATGATTTTCTTATTAATATAAAAACAAGTTAATTTAGAAATGTTCATAATTAAATGGATAAGGCTTAAATCTAACTTAACGGCTAATTCCAGATCGTCTGGTATATATTTCACATTATCTGTTAATTCTAAATACAATTCCTTGGGTGTAATTATGGATGGATGGATGGATGACGCTTACATGACTTAGTAGAATTGCATTGGTAATATCTTCTAATTGGAATGATAATGAAAGCATCGCTGTTTCGAGGTAATTCAAAAGTATATTTAATTCCGTATTAATTGATAAGTTATTGGTTAAATTGGAATATTCGAATAGTGCAGTTAATTTATCTATTGCGATGTTAAGGTTTTCTTCATTAAGCTTTAATTTGTATAATGTTTCGTTATGTCGGTAAAGAGTCGATCTTGTGACCATAATATGGTCCTTCATAATAGAGGCCACCCTCTTTTAGTCAATTTGGATATTGTTAATGGCATTATCATATTTAATGGCGTCATCCTCATCCAGTGTTCCGAATATTTGTCTGAAGGCGCTACCGATTCCTCCGAACCATGCCCCACGTTTAACCTTATTGTCAATTAAATGGGCGAAAGAAGAATATACCTGGATTAAATCTTTATATCGCGTATCGAGTGGGGAGAGAAGATTCCTACATTGTGTTTTTTCAATGATCTCAGATTACTGACAAAAATATCGAGTGGTGCTTAAAATAGAATTGATGTTAGCAAGGTGTGGTTCTACATAAGATATGTCTATAGGGATAACTACTCTAAGATGGCCGTTTATAGCCTTGGCTCTGCCAATAAAATCAAAATAGATACCAGGGCTTGACGTGATGTGTTCAATTAGGCTCGATGCCGTTGAGGTTGCTACACTGGAACCAATTATAATATTGTGGTTTATTATTTAAATCACTATCTACTTGTCTAAAATAGTTTTAAGGAAATAAGAAATGCGATATAAAATTAATTGACTTATTTAAAAAAATAATAGTAAAATTTAATTAATAACGATAAAAGAGGAAAATATAAAATTAAGTAAAATATTAAAATTAACATATTAAGATTACAGATAAAATTTAAAGATTTCTACGACTACGGGGAGCTGGGAAATACTCCAGCCAGTTTTACTTCGTCAATGTGGTGTCTGACGTGCCGTCGGTTTATGAGTAACGTCACGTTGTTATTGCTATGAACAGCTAAGATTTTGTATGGGCCCTTCCATATTGGAGAAAGGGCTTTACGGAGTCTTAAATGGTTTCTTAGGTATACATAGTCGCCTACTTTATATTTAATAGGTTTGGTTTTGGAATCGTAATAGTTTTTTGATCTTTCCTTTGAATTTTGTATGTTTTCAAAGGCTTTTTCCCAGGATAGTTTCAATCGATGTTGTAGCATTCTGATGTAGTCGGGGTAAGTCGTAAGGTCTTCATTTCCTCTTTCAGGTTGTGCTTCAGGTGGATCAGGATTGGCAGATTGGTTCTCGTCATGGTGTGGTAATAGCGGGTTCACAGGGTAACGAGATAAAGCATCAGCAGCTGAATTTAGTCTACCTTTTCGATATACGATTTCGTATTCGTATTCTTCGAGTTTGAGTCGCCAACGTTGCATTTTACTGCTTGGGTCTTTATGGTTGAAGAGCCACTTTAGGGGTCGATGATCTGTGATAATTTGGAATTTTCGACCATATAGATATGGTCGGAAGGTTTTACAACCGAAGATGATTGCAAGAAGTTCTTTCTCGGTAGTACTATAGTTTATTTCGCTTTTATTTAGGGTTCGAGATGCGTATGCGACAGGGCGATCTTTACCAATGGGACCTTGGGATAGGACAGCTCCAATGGCGTGATTGGAAGCATCACAGGTAAGTATAAAAGGTTTTGTGAAGTCAGGGTAACAGAGGAGAGGAGCAGTGGTTAGTTTCTGTTTTAAAGTATCGAAAGCGACTTGTTGTTGATTTTCCCAATTAAATTGGGTGTCCTTTTTTAGGAGAAGTGTAAGAGGTTTGGCAATCTTTGAAAAGTCTGATATGAATCTGCGATAATAGGAGACGAGACCGAGGAAGGATTTTATATCCTTTGCTGATTTTGGAGTTGGGAAGTGGACAACTGCTTTGATCTTATCTGGATTAGGTTTTACTCCATCGGAGGATATAGTATGACCGAGATAGGCAACTTCGCGCCTTAAAAATTCGCATTTATCAGGTTGTAGTTTGAGGTTGAACTCTCTGAGTCTTTGGAATATCATTCTTAGGTTCTGAACCATAGAAGGAAGATCAAAGGAATATGTGACCACATCATCTAGGTACACGAAGCAGCGAATGCCTTGTAGGCCGGATAGAGTCGTATTCATTAGTCTTTGGAAGGTGGAAGGTGCATTTTTAAGTCCGAAGGGCATTCGGGTGAACTGGTAATGGCCTTGAGGCACCGTGAAAGCTGTTTTCTCTGGATTATTTACAGGGATTTGATGGAATCCAGACGCCAAGTCCAGGGTTGAGAAGTACTTGCTGTTACCAAGTTGATCTAAGATTTCGGTGATCTGGGGTATAGGGTAGGTATCACCGATTGTGATGTCGTTTAGTTTTCTGTAGTCAATTACGACACGCCATTTCTGTTGGCCGGATGCGTCGAGTTTTTTTGGTACAACCCATATGGGTGAAGACCAGGGAGACACAGAAGGTTCGATA